TTGTTGTCCCTAATAGGAGCAGTTTTATATCAAATGAAAGTATCATATAGAGCAAAATGTGACGGGAGGAGCGGCAGGTTAACACAAGGCAAGAAAAAATCTGTGGAGAATTCACAAGTGCTAGTCTGAATTTTACAGTTAATTCTTTCACTTTCACTCTCTGCTTTTGCAGAGATGAAGGCAGCTTTAATTAGCAGTGAGCAAACAGGCCCCAGTGGGTGGAGCAGGTAGGTTTGATCCCAGGTTTGGCAACCCAAATCAGCTGCTCAAAGATAACTGAAAACTGTCATCTAACTCAATAGGATGTGTTTACTTGATTTTGTTTTGAAATTATTTTCATTTGTCTCAGTGAGATACATCTGAAAGTTTTGAGCTGTAGTAAATATTGTTCTTATTTGTTTGCATGCATTATGTTGGAACAACTCATGCGTTTTTTCCACTTTGCTGAGCTTTACTCTCATCATAAATTGCTTATTTAAGTTCAAATGTCAGTAAATAAGTCCAGTTAGGTAAATAAATTTGTGGGTTTTAAAACTAAAACAAAGCAGTAAATATAGAATATTAGCTGAGAGAGGAGTGGGAAACTGAAAGTTCCTCAAAGAATGGGGATGCTTATTAGAGAAATATTCCTTGTCACACAGCAGTACGACAGATTTTCAGCTGTACTTTCAGCTTGGAGAGTCTATAACCTCAAAGGAAAATTCTGAAAGGCCTCTGAAAGGCCTCTGAAAACAATAGCGTATGTATACGTAGGGAGAATAGAGAAATAAGCCCTCTCTCCATGCCCTGACTAAGGCAGTCTGGTTAAAAAATGTTTCTTTGTCTGTAAGAACCAGTTTCCGTAAAATTTTCATAAGGATTGATAATTTGCAAGCTTCACACTACTTCAGCCCTCCAGTAATAACAAAAGCCTGGAAACAGCCTAGGATATTGAGGTACTGGATTGAATTTCAAACTTCAGGCCTACTAGAAACTGAGGTCAAAATTTGGAGGAAAGTTGCTCCCATTTTAGTAACTAGCAATGCTGAGGCAGTTAGTGATGGTCTTGGCTGAGTTTCTGACAATTTTAGCAGCTTTATTTGTACAGCTAGCTTTGTGGGATGACAGTGACTACTATCTTTTGCCAGGGATGCTCGTATTTGATGCTGACATTGATGTATCTTCCTCAGAAGTGATTGCAGCTGAGTTGCTTGTTCATTTGCATCTTTATGACTCTCAAGCCATCTTCTTGTATATCTGTGTTGGTTGTTTTGATATTTTTCCCCTTTTCTCCCATTAACTCTTTTACTTTTCTCAAATAGTGTCTTCCAGTGACACAAGTTTGAGCCAAGGCAAACTGAAGAGGATTTCTTTCCAGTGTTGAGTCAGGATGAGTTGTGGGGCTCATGGAATTCTTAGCTTAAAGATTTAACCTTTATCTCATCAGCCTCCCTCTGCAGACCCAGTGTGAAGCTACTGTCCTTGCTTCCCCTGTTATTGTTAGTGTCCTTCCACCCATCACTCATTATGAGGAGAGTCAAGGTCTTTGGAAATCTCCTTTCTTGAGGAGAAGCTGATTTATGCTCAGCAATTTGGTCTTCTCAGCAGGTCTGTTAGTGGCACCTCCATCTGCAGATTGCCCCTAAGAGCACGCTCAGGCACGTGGCCCTTGCACTGCTGCCCCCCCCCCACCCTTGCCTTTATTTCCTGAAGTGCTCAAGAGACGACTTTCACCTCTTCTGTTTTGTCTGTGGTTCTCTGCTTCAGACACAGCTCTAATAGGGGAAAAAGTGAAAAGTTTCTCAGGTTGGAGGAACAGTTTTGTTCTCTGGAGTAGCAAGAGCGATGTTTGTATTCTGGAGAACACGTTCCTGTTACAAAGCTTGTGCTGGTTTGTATCACCAATTGATAGCCTGTTTAATAATTTGGACTAGTTATTATGTCAGCTAGCTTGTTTGGTAAGGATGTGAGGTTCCTCCCTCATGTAGAACAGATGTATCCGTCCCTCTGTCTGCTGTGACAGGTTCCTGGTGTTTGGAAATACTGGAATATCCTTAGACAGGCAGAGTAGGAACCACTTGGGTAACTACAGCAGAGCACTCTAAGAATACAAAGTCATTGCATGTTTTCCTGTCTACTTTTTTTCCAGTTTTTAATTTCTGCTTCATGCTCTTTTTCCCTAAAAAGAGGGGATATTCAGTCGCATCGGCTCAGGGTTTTGCGCTGTGTGGCAGAGCGGGCCAGGGTCAAGGAGAATTAATTCTGATCTAGGGATGGCTTGTGTGTGTAAGTCCTTAGAATAGCTTTTGCTTTTAGATGCTTGACAAATTCCCAAAGCAGGAGATGGCATGGATGTCTCTGCCTTGACCCTCATGGTGTTTTCCGAAGCCATTAATGTCGGGCTGCTTGTACTTTCTCCGTGTCCTGCCAGTGCTCTCTGCAATGAACACACACTGCCTGCTCCACCTCCAACCTCGCGCCGCTTTGCAGTCAATTAGACTTGCCAGAATGGACAACTTCGCTTCTGTGGAATGGTTTGCTGCCAGTACCAGCTCCTCTGCTCAAGCAGGCATCCCACACTGCTGAGGGCCATGGTATGTAGGTGGGCCAGGTGGTTGCTGAGGTGATTGCAGCTGTGGGTTGTAAATGTAATTGATACTTTTCTTAAGTTGCTCCCATTGCATGTGGGTACAGGGTCAATTCTAGCCAAAGCCCATGTTTGCTGACTCATGAAGATGTCTGTCCTTTCTCCTGAAGCTCAAGGTCATCTGAGCTCCTTTTTGCTATGTTCATTTCTGCTAGTGAGTCAGCCCAGAGGCTGCTTGCTGCTGGTACCTATAGATTCTGTCCTCAGGTCTATTTGATCTCTACTGAATTTAGCCTCTTAAGTTCAGTAATTTGTTTAAATCCTTGTGTGATGCTCGGCTTTGATGGGCATCAGCAGCAACCACTTTCTTGGGGCAGTGAAGGACATTCTCAGTGGCTGGAGATGGCTCTCCCTCCTTTATCCTCCTGTCTGTCCTTCCCTCTTTCCTTTCATTTGACCCACTTCAGCACCTCATCACAAAGGGACGGATTTTAAACCAGCTACAATTTGCAAAGATGGTGGCTCAAAATGTCTGCAGGTAAGAGAGGTCTCTGGCAACACTGACATGAGGGTACTGCCACCCAGGGTTGCCCTTGCCAGCAGCCCAACATGAGCTCGGGCTATCTCCTCCCCAACTCTTCCAATGCATCCCTAGACCTTCTATTGATCCTCTGCAATGTCATTTAGTGAGTAGTGATAAACATAGTAGTGCACTCAGAATCCTGATTGGCTCAAGAGGCAGGGTGCTCTTAAAAGTGCACTCTTGTATAATATTCCTGCATATTGAAGTAATGGCTCTAAATACTATTCACTATGTCAAGAGATAGAAAAGGCAGTCAGTAACTGAGAACTGAACTCAGACAAAAATCTTGATGCTTAAGCCATTGTAATAAACCTACCATTCTTCTCAGATATTGAGCAGAAAATCCCTATTAAACTGGTCAGTGACAAGGAAAGTCAGCTCACTGAACAGGCAAACCAGACCATCCTTTGGACTGTGGCATGAGAGCAAAATAAAGCCCTGCCAATATCCATAGGGTGCTGTGGAAACGCTGGGACAGGTCTTGCTGGGCTGGCTTCCAGTAGCTAAGCAAGCCTGAGCAGAAAGCGACAGAAACACTAATCCAGTCTTGGGGAGAACAGGCTCACTGTCCTGAGATTTGTAATGAACAAACAAGTTTTGAAAAGATCAGAAAATATTTGACTATCAATGTCTAGGAAGAGATATTTTTAAAAGAAAGAGGAACTACTCTTTCTTTATCATCCTTTATTTTAATTATTTGAAAGTAGTGCTGCAAGATTAGCAATCTTTCATGAATTCAATAGCAATGTTATGATTGTATAGGAAGTGTACTTGTTGTGGCTCTGTAAACTCAATGGTTCAAGCAAACTTGCTCCTCTGACATCTCCCTCTTATTTTTTTTCATGACTTCTTAAAGTAATGTTTTGTTTTGTTCTGGTTTCCTATTACTCATGAGCAAGTCTAAGATGTTCGCATCCTCCCACAGCTTCTGGTTGAATATAGGTTTCACATTAAAGTTGTTCTGGACTTTTTTTCCTTTCTTGAATGATCTTTGATGTATCTGTTTGAGTATCTCCTTTCAGCTGGTATTCTGCATTGAGAGCCACGATCCACACTGTTAACTTGTCTCTGGTATTTTCTCTTTTGCGTATATTTGGTGGAACTCCTAAGCTGCATCAGAAATCTACTGAAAACACATTTGTTGTGGGTCTAATTCCTTCACCTTGGGCTTTATGACATTTTGTGCGGGCTTGAGGATGCTGCCCTGTTGAAAAGCAGAAATCTCAAAATGCTCTTTCTTCTAGCTTTCTCATTGCCCTACGTTTTCTCCCTCTTCCTCTTTTGCCATATAGAAGAACCTGCTTTAGGACACGAACCCCACTACATGAATGAAACTAGATGGAGAAATTTAGTGTTTGCCTTCATGAAGCAATTGGATCAGTGTTTATTCTCAGAAACTTCTCATTTGGTGAAGAAGAGATTTTACTATTGAGCTAGAAGTTTGGCTCAATTTCAATAGTTTATGTGAAATAGTAAAATCATTCTCTTCTGAATTCACACTCACTGTAGTGCAAGACAGAATAGTGAGTGGATTAAGTATGGTTTGGATATAAATGTTCAGTATATGTTATAATATTTTCCCATTTAAAAAAGGTCTTAGACTTCACTCATGAGTACTGCAATAGCTGTATTTTAGGGCAGAGGCTCATCTATCTATTTTGTCAAAATGCAAACCCTTCAACTACTAGGATGTGTATTTTTATTACATATTACATTTTTATTAAAATGTGGTGTTGTAATAGGATTCCTCTTTCTCCAAGGAGGCTTTTATATATATTTATGTTTATATACATACACACTCTCATTAAAAATGGTTTTGCTATGGGGAAGAGGGCATTGAGTCCAAAAGGCTAGGTTTTACATATTTTATTCATAAAAACAGATTTGCAACAATTTATTAAAAATTGATCTCATGCAGTATAAGGTTATACAAGAAATTCTTCATTTACATTTTATTCTGGCAGTTCCAGTCTAGTTTAAAGCATTTGTGCACTAACATCATTGGAAAATGCCATTGGGGCACAGCCTCTTCATAAATTTACAGTACATTTTTGCTGCAGTATAAAAGAACAGAAACATTAAATAGCTATATTCACTTGGTTGGTCTTGTTATCTGCAGTAAAGTAAAAAAAAATGTTATGGGAGAAACTACAGTATCATTGAGACAAAGAATGTACTGCATGGTTTAAACCTAATAAACGTCACACAGTCAGTATTCACGAAGTTACAGACACACACACACACACACACTCACCTCCAATGGTCTGATACTTCTGAATTTTTTTCCTGCTAAGTTGGAATAATATTTCTACAGAGATCTTTGTGTATACATTATATACAATATTGTAATTTTCTCTTTTTAAAAATTAACATTCCTTTTAAAATAAACCAGGCCCTGATGATATTAATAAAGCAAGAGAATACTGTCAACACACATTGAGTGACAACGTCAGTGTTTAGTGCTTAAACAGAGTAATGAGTTCTATTTTATCTGTGATTATACTTACAGGTTTTTTTTGTTCTAAAAACTACAGATATTTCCATACCCTCTCTTACTGTATGTGCCAAGTGAAATATTTTGTGATGCTCCTGATTGTAAGATTCAGATACATATTCATGTTGGTTTTGGCCACTATGAGGAGTATTTTATTTTTAATGGAGATTTATGCTAGCTTGTCAAAGCTGCAGTTAAGTCCCTCAGCTAATGAACCCCTTCAACTGTGCTTCAGTCATTGCTATTTGTAAACCTTTGTAGGTATGCCATTCCAAAGGTTTGGTCTGAGATGCACAGGTGTTGGTCAAAGAAAACTGAGAGCCCAGTGGGTGCTTCATGTGTTTTTTCCCCCTACTTTCAGCAAACAGCCCTGGAAGTCAGAGGACACATTTCCAGTCCCTTGGAAAAAGAAGCTGCACGTGTGTCTCACATGTGCCTGAGGGTTTGGCTCTAGAGTTGGTTCAGACGGTACGCCACTATTGTTCCTCCTAATTGCTTCGGTTCAGGGAATGGAGCTAAAGTATAAAAACCCTTTGTTTTTTTTTCACAGTCCTTTTAGGCTTCAGATAAAATATTCTATTGGTAAATTGGATTTGTCCTCTCTATTATCTGCTACAACTGTCACACACAGGTACGAAGCAAACATGGTGTATATTCACATCTATGTGCTCTGCAGGCTTTGCCTGCAGCAGCAAAGTGCTGTGCCCTAGCCCCTCCCCCTCTCCAAGTCAACAAAATTAATTTTATTGTAATTATGTGTGACACAATTCAAACAAATTAGGAAAAACAATTCATCCTGTGACATTAAGACTTTACTACCCATCTGTCCTCAGTTTCCTGAGTTATCAGCCCTAGGACTTTTCCAGACAGTTTAGTATGTTACGATTGGTGGTGTTTATTCTGAAATAGGTGCAAAAACTTTGCTAAAAATGAAGCTGCAGATGGTCAGCAGTTACTACCATTGCCCCTGGAGAAGGGCAAAGTGCTCCTCTTGCAACTAGCAGCTCTCCAGCCGGTGGCAACTCAGAGCTGGAGCTTCTGGCTCTGCTTGGGTTTCACATACAGCTGCAAGATAGAGGTGACCCTGCTCACAGCACTGCAGTCTCAATGACACCTGAGGAATCATTTCTCACAATTCCTTCCTACTGAACATCATCACCTGAAATGAAAACAAGCAAGACTAACCAGTGCAGAATGTTTCCAGCAATTTTACACAACTCTTGTAAAAATGAGTGTATCTATTTCAACATGGTATAGGTCAACCACTGCATTTTCCTTACATGGATACAGTATAGAATTGCATGTTCTCAGCAGCCACACAAAGCTCAGTGACATTTGAGTGTTTGGTTTTTTTTCCCTAGTGTCTTTTTTGCAAGATCCGTATTTCCCAGCCTTCTTGTTGCTAGTAGAAATTTTGGAAGAAATGTTTTTTTTTTCAGTGACTTCTAGGTGAAGAAATAAAAACTCCATGAATAAGGCTACAGATCAAACTCCTTGTGTCCTTCTCCTTTGCCTTCCCACATGAGTTACACGGGCACTCCTGTGATGAGGGCCTCAGCGGCAGTTCCTCTGTGGTAAGAGCCAATGTTACATGTTTGTAGCAGAGTTCCAGGTCAGATGTTTAGTCCAGTCATTGAGTACTTAAAAGCAGTTCAGGAAGCACTGATCTTCCTTTCCTACAGCCCCGAAACCATCACTCGGAAGGAGGGCGGCACGTGTCTGTGCCGAGGGCTGGCACTGGGGCTTACGCACGGACTGGCACAGCTCGCGTCCACTCCTCCTATGGACGGCAAGTAGGCATGGTGAAGGATGGGCAGCTGCAAGGACAGCCGACGCTGTATGCTGAAGGAGACACACAGAGAGAGAGGGGTTAGCCAAGGGGAAGATGTAATACATTACATGGTTGATATGTTCACAGGTTGCTGCTAGGATGTTTCCTGTGCCTGCTGCTGCGACTGGGAGGGTTAATGCCAAGAGCATTGCACTTGCTGCTGTTGAGCTATGCCACCATGATGTTATTTCCCCTTGGGGAATTTTTCTGACAGGTTAGACATGACAGAGGAATCTAAGGGTGCTTTCTCAGCATCCCACAACCTTGTAAAATTCCCAGGCACATTCAGGTTAATTGCTAGAGTGCTGATGCCATGAAAAGGGAAAACCTTAAGCTTGCAATAGGGGTGAATGGCTTGGTGATCCCCCAGCCCCTTGTAAAGCTATCTACTGCATGCAGAGCCCTGGCTAACTGTGTAGACATGCATGAAGTCACAGAGTTTTAAGCCATGCACCACTTAGCACAAGGATTAAGGATGGCATTTTTGCAACTCCAGCTAAGGCAAACACAGGTGCGTAGCGGGTGGGAATTGGGACTGATGGATTTTTCCAAGTAGTTCCTCTTTAAAGCTTTTGTCTGTGCTTTTGAGGTGATGGACACTTTTGAGTTCCAGCAGTCAGTGCTACGGGCCTGAGGAGCTGGCACTATAAAAGCAGCCTAACCTACCACCAAAATTCAGTATTTAAGAACCTAACAATCTCTATTCATTTTCCCAAGCAGGTTGACATAATGATATCTTGTATTAGGTTTTTCTTAAATGGATACTAAACTGTGCTCACATGTATCCCATCTAACCCCTCTCCCTGGAGAAGATGGTGCCATGAGGGGCTCTGCTACCCCTGTGCTGTGAATATACTAGCACCTTTCACAAAATCAAAATCCAGTTGATGTTCGCTAGTGTAAGAGATATTTTCAGTCATCAAGATGTTATCAACAAGATGGCTTAGCATTTGGAGACAGTCACCCTTGAAACACAGAGGCACTTTCTAAAGAGAAGACAGTTGTCAAGGTGACTGAGCTGAACTGAAGACTGGCTTTTTGATTCCAGAAGAAAAATGCCCATAGAAAGCATTTTATCAGTAAATTTATGTTTCCCTGTTAGCTGATATAATGACTGTGTATAGGCCTTTATAAGAGGTGTGTGTTTGAAAGCTAGTCTTTGGACAGCCTTTCTAATTCAAACAACATTTAATTTCTTTTTTGCTTTGTGTCAGGAAGCAGAGACAAATACCAAAGCATCCATTGCACTGCTCAGGGACCAAGCAGTATAGCTTTTAAATTCAAACAGAAAGAAATGTAATACTCTTCTCTTTTGCTTCTTCACTACAAATTTTGCCTTGCTTATAGAGATATGCAGTAGAAATAGATGTTGTCTGTCTATTCAGGAAACTCTTTCTCATTGTTTTTCACCCTCAAACTCCCTATAAAAGTTTCATGCAATGTTAATCCACAGTGGTGATCATTCTAGTGCTGGCAATGCATTCCTGGGACTAAACAAAATCCATTCATTGTTATTTTGCTACTGTGCCCAGCTCTTTCTGATGCTATCAATGAAATCATGCCTTGTTCCCAAGGAGTGCAGAGGTGGCATGGCTCTCTGTTTCCATGTGCTGAATCCTTATGAGCCTGATGCTGCGGATTGTCATTCCATCTCTTGTTGCAGGGTCAAATGCAGAATTGCCTGTGCTTATTTTCCCACCAGTGGAAATGCTTACTCTGTTCAACTGTTATAGACTTCTCATTAAAGAGCTTTCTGAAGCTATTCCAAAAGAATCCAGTTGCATAATCAAGTGAATAGGATTGTTTTTTTCATCCATTTCAGTGTTAGCCATACCATGGACAAAGCATGTTTATTTAGCTATGCCAATGGTGGCTGCAGTGAGTGGCAAATTTTCCTTTAACTGTACTTAAAAGTTTGCTTTCACTTGAAAACTAGTTCCTGGAACTGGGGCAGAGAACTGTAGCCTGGAGACTCACACATAATAAAGAGTTTAGACAGAACCCTTAGAGGGGAACACAAAACAAAACAAGTAAAAAATCCAAACAAACCTGCCATTTTCTCCTTAAGCGAAAGTAAATCTTGTGACCTGCTTCACTCTTTGTAGGGTTTGTGCCTTGCCTCACTCTTTCTAGGGCTTTTTTTGCAATATCAGTGATTTTTCTCTTCTCCCTCCCCTGCCACACCAGTGTTGTCAGTGCTTTTGGGGGATCCCTCAGTATCAATAAAAGCTAGGGGATGAAGAGATCAAGAACAGCCCTATCAAGAAGTTGGGGATGATGGTGGATGAAAAGCTAGACATGACCCAGCAATGTGCACTTGCAGACCAGAAAGCCAACCGTATCCTGGGCTGCATCAAAAGCAGCATGGCCAGCAGTTCAAAGGAGGTAATGCTGCCCTCATGAGACACCACCTGAAGTACTGCATCCAGATCTGGGACCTCCAACATAAGAAGAATGTGGACCTGGAATGAATCCAGAGGAGGGTCACAAAAATGATCAGAGGGCTGGAGGATGTCTCCTATGAAAAGAGGCTAAGATAGCTGGGGTTGTTCAGCCTGGAGAAGAGAAGGCTCCAGGGAGACCTTACAGCAGCCTTCCAGTACCTAAAGGGGGCTTACAAGAGAGATGGAGAGGGACTTTTTACAAGGGCATGGAGTGATAGGACACTGGATGATTTTAAACTAAAAGGGGGTAGATTTAGACTAGATATAAGGAAGAAATTTTTTATGATGAGAGTAGTGAAACACTGGTGTAGATGGCCCAAAGACGTTGTAGATGCCCTATCCCTGGTAACATTCAAGGCCGGGCTGGATGGGGCTTTGTGCAACCTGGTGTGGTTGAAGTTGTCTCTGCTCATTGCAGGGAGATTGGACTGGTTGACCTTTCAAGGTCCCTTCCAGAATTCTATGAGTATGAAAGCATATATATGGTCCAGTATTTTGAAGAGGGAATGGTTAGTATTAGCGGGTCTAGAATCATAGACAACCACTGAAGGACATGAAAAGGAAAGGTGGTACCACACACATAGCAGCCACCCAACAGGACAGGGCATATGTCCTCAGCTCTGTACAGAAATACCATTTATTAGGAAAATATAAATCAGGTAAAATCTTGACTTACAATGTCAGTGTAAATGGGAACACAATGCAATGCACATGGGAATGCACAATACCACAAAGGGGGCAGAGGCATTTGAAAAAATATTTTGGTTTTGTAATAGAAAACTACTACTGAGATCTATTGGTATGTGGGGGGACAGAAACAAGTACTGTAACTGTCAAGCATCCAAAGTTCTGCGGGAGTGTGTAAACTGTGTCTAAACACTCAGGGATTATTTCAGTTAATTCTGCAGCCCATAAATGTTGATTTTTAGCAGCTGCAGGGAAGCTGGAGCAGTTTTAAAGACTACAATAAAGCAAGATGTTGAACAAGCAAGTAAATTAATCATTCTAAATCTACTATATTTTAATGACAGGTTTGAGTAAGATCACAGACTAATATGATCCACTGTCAATGAAGAAACTGAATAACAGAGGCATGTTCATGCTGAGGCATATGGCTGTTAATGCAATAACCCAGCCACAACCAACTTCTTAGAATGAGAATTTTTAGTTACTAAAATTAAAATAACTGGCTCCAGTTATGCTTTGAATTTATGCTTTGAAGGTTACAAAAAAAACTGCATATAGAAATAGTCTATTAAAATGGCAGGTTTCAGTGGGTTCCTTCAGAAATCTATCATCACCTTTACTTAGAGATCTGGAAGGCTGTTACATACTGTTGCTCTTAAAATGAGAACAGTATAAATTTTTAACAGTGCCAAAAACTAATTCAGTGGATGTAGGTCACGGATGAGACAGGACAATAGACAGAAATGAAGGTGCACAGAAGGATGACTTTGAGGGTCACAGAAGATAAACCGTTGAATGTATTCATGCAGCCATCACACAGATAAGCTGACTGATGAGATCTTTAGATAAGCAAGCAGGACTGCCCAGCAGGAAAGAGCTGACTTTGTGTGTGTGAGAGAAAACTCAGTCTGCTGGGAAACGAACTGTTGCATCTATTCTGAATTGATTCAGGCTGCTCTCTGGACCTCAGATGAACCGGCATGGTGCAACATCCATCCGCGCAGCTACGCATCCCCCAAACAAGGTTTCTGAACACCAGATTGTTGCTGAGCATTACCCAGGAGAGTACAAGTTGAAACAGTTGTGCTAGGGAGTATGCTGAAAAGCACAATAGAAAATCAAAGCACAGGGCTTGAGCCTGTGCACTGGCACTGTTTTGCCTACTGTAGGAAGTGTTAATTTACACTGTGTAGCCAGTGTAAACAGGAGAGAAAGCAGTCAGCATCCACTTTTTGCTCTTCTTATCTGATGGTCTGACTAGGTATGGCAAATTTTGCACGGCAGTATGGATAATGTATGGCATCCTGGCCAGCAGGAAAGGGACTAAGATGCAACAGGAACTGAGAATCATCTCTATTCCTGCTCTAGGGCTGCTTTACAGTCATACAGACCACATTTTCCCTAGGCATGGAGTTCTAAGTCTAAGGCAAGCACAAACCAAGTGTTTCTCACATTCTGATTGAGATGATGTAAACATCACACCATCAACAAAGGTGAAAAAGCTTCCTGCACTACTGAGGCTGAAGTGCATGTATACTGCTGTGCCTTCACTTTGGACACAACTGTAGAATAAGAAATCATACTTGCAAACAGTGAAATATAGTACTAGTGGTAAGAAAGAATGAAAAAATCCCAATTCAACTCTTTTCTGTACTCTATAAGAACTTTTATGCTGGAAGATGTCAGCTGTAATGAGTGCTGGCAAGCACAGGAAGCTGGGATGATTCTTTTTCCAACAACCATCAAAGAGTTAACAGTTCTGCAGGCAAATTATTGTCTTAACATCCTCCTTTCACAGGTTTGTGACAAAGAGGAAATATTTTTCAGACTAATATCCTTGAGATTTGTGTTCTTGTAAAAGAAATAGGTTTCTCAGACTGCAAATACCTATCAGGTGCCCTATGTATGAAGTGAAATGAGAAAGAGAAGACAGAAACTACAGCTTACTTCTTACTCCTTTCTTTCTTTTATTTTTGACAAAAATTGTATATTTAGTAACCACTGAAGGCCAGAAGTCCTGCCAGACAAGTTGATAAACAAGCCCTCAGATGCAGAAGGATATCTTAAAGAGTAAAAAGTTTGGAGAGAGGCAATCTCTTGTCAAAAAGAAGGAAGTCCTGAAGATGGCTATACTTCTCCTCTCTGTCAGGTCCACTGTGCCTAGGCAGTGTGGCTCTCAAACTGCCAGCTCACCCTCAGGGGAGACATTGATCCTTGGACCTGGCACATTCACTGCTGTGCAAATGCTGAATGACACTGTTTTGATTTAGCAGGACTTTATTAATTGCTTTCCATAGATGTCAGTGACTGTTCAGATTTGTACTGACCCACTCTTCAGGACCTTTAGGAAATCTCAGTCTTGTCATCAGTTATCACTAGCGTAGAAGTTCTGTCATCACCTTTCTTTTTTTTTGTCTGTATTAAATCTATATCAAGACAATTGGATTATTTGAGTGTCTGTCTTTTTCTTAGCATCTTTCTTAATGTAAGGAGGCCACATGTGGGTGAGTCTGCATTCACAAAACATTATTTCTGACAAATGGTGCTGAAAAAAACACAGGCCTCTAATAGCTGTGCATTAAAGCACTCTGCTGACCCCATGAAGTCACGAGAGCTCTCTCAGCAAGAGCCCTGCCTTTGTGAAATTACAGGATATTTCGTATACTGTGGGCTTTTCTTGGTGTATGTGTGTATGTGTGTGTGTGTATTAGCTTCTTTGCAGGTTTGGGTTGGGATTTTTTTTTTAAGCGGAAGGACAGAGTTAGAAATCCACGTGTTTTCCTGCACCAGGTAGTACAAGAGAGTAGCTACTATCTGAAATTAGGGTTGTTGTCACAGATGTAACATGTGACTCATTCTAGTAATCTGTTTAATTTATTCTGTTTTTAAATAAGCTTTTAAGTTGCTCAGGAGTCCAACAACTATTAGCTCAGATCCGGATGAAGCAATGCTCGTGTCACCAGGCTGCCATGACAAAATGGATGATCCAGGGACGAATGAATATGGCACTTCTCTGAGCTCTGGCCTATGGCAGGTCCTTATCAGCATTAGAGGGTAGGACATGACTTTATTGCATAGGTTCCTAGAAAGAAAGGCTGACACCATAAGACTCCTTCCCTTCCAAAAATCTAGCCACTGTTTTGTGCCACCCTCTCCTTGTAGCTGCAGCATTGTTTCTAAGGGAGACTACTTGGTGCAGGCTTTCCTATGCCAAAACTCAGGTCCAGCTGCTATGGCAACGTTGAAAAGCCCTCAGAATGTTTTTTATTTCTCAGTTAGCTTGAGATTGGAGAATAAAATGTCTATGTACACCATGAACCCCTCTGGCAGGTGTGTGGAAGGACTTGGACTTTTGACAAGAGCCATAAGATATGTGTGCACTTATGTACACCCTCTTCGTTCCTCCATTCATTGGTGGTCGGGCACAGCTCATTCTGCAACTTTCTACAGAAACTTTAGCTATGGATGTTTCTGACAAAAGAAAAGCAATATGTTAGTTTGCCTTTGGGGCACCTTTGGATCTCATACCCCTGATATCCTTTAAATTTCACTGAGGTGGTGACCAGGTGGCAGGGAGGCATCACAGTGCAACGTTGCTGCCTAGTGGTGCTTTAGGAGGCACCATTCACATTCTCTGTTGCTGATGTTTCAGGCCCTCTCTGTAGCTGGGGCTGGCTGAAAGGGGGTTACAGTGAAGATCTTCCCATAAAAAATGCATGAAAGAGAAATATGGGCTTTGAGGAAATGTAATAATTTAAATTAACATTTTGTCAGCAAGGCAGCTGGTGTCCAGGATGGAATGTACGTCTAAAACAGTAGCAAGTATGTGCACCCAAGCATGTGCATACCCAGGAGAGCAAGGGTATCTCATATTGTACCAGCAGCTAATGAGATATACTTACTGTTCTGGAGAGTTGATGTCTTCTATGGGATCTTTGCTTGTTCTGCAAGGGTCTGATGAACCCCACTGTGCTGGTGGATTTTGATCAAGATGATTTTTCAAAATGGCTTTCTCACCATCTGGATGGACAAGACATTCAATTTTATTTTACTGTGACCAAGTGACCATTTTAAAATTGTTCCATTTTAAAATTTCCCAGATATCCATAATGACACAAAGTAAAATTATTCTACCTATATTCCAATTTGTTCTCAGGTTTTCCTGTGAGAATTTGGTACTCTTATGTGTTGGATGATGTATTCCTCCATAAAAACTATCTTGAAGAAACAGAAAAGTGACAAAAACTCTTTTGTCCTTCCTTTGGATCCCTCTGCCTTTAAAAAAACCCCACAAACCAAACCTTGTTGCCCGCCTCTTTGTAGCTGTATAAGGCTCTCTTATCTACACTGAGGCTAAGGGGAAAATTAATGTAACTGTACTGTTCTTACACTCAGAAATTGTAACCTTTTCATAAGAAACACCCTTCTTTGTTAAATCTTTTCCTAGAAAAACTATAATATCATTGATGTATAAAACCTTGGTACTCTCATAATCAAATAGGCAATTAGGTGCTGTCATTTGACTATCTGCTACTGCTATCATTTAGCATGGAAATATGATTCATATCAGTTGCACTGGTCCATAGGCTGTCTGCAGGAAGGACAGCTAATGATGTCATTAAGCTTTTTCCTGCCATTCTCTTTTCTGTGGAGTGATAATGAAGAAGATAATAATTTTCCCCATCTCTCACTTCACTTGATTCCCCTGGGTGTCCTGTGAGTGCTGAAGCCCATGGCATCATTCCCCTTGAGAAACACGGGCAAACACAGCCATTTTAAGAAGGCCATCTTTGCCAGGGATCCTTTCTGTTCCTGCCTGCTTTTCCAAAGTATCCTGCTGTGTTAAGCCAAATAAAATCACATGGAAAGCATCTGAATAATGAGGACAGTTCACAGCTTTCATAAATAATTACAGAGCAGCTCCAGATCCATCACCAGCAGTTGTTTGCCACACAAACAGAGAAACAGTGATTGCTGCAGGCATTGAGGCAGCAAAGAAAAGAAGTCTAAGGTAAATTCTTGAAAAGGATACTGGAGGATTTGAACATAAAAATGGGCATGAGAGGGAAAAACAGAAAAAGAGTAAAGGGAAAGGAAAATAGCATGAAAAAGCCAGTGTATTTTGAAGGCTTAAGTTGCTTTTCTGCTCAGAAGCCCCATCTAATTCTCCCAGCATACAAGGAATATATGTGTTATAGACAGGCACTGGTGGGACAAAACAAACAGCAGAAACACGAAGTGAGGAAAGAAGTTGAAAGCATAAACAGAAATGTTTTGAAGGCAAACTCCAACACGTATAATTGCCCTCCCAGCAAGGTCATCCCTGGCATTATTTGACAGCATTCCCTTTCTGCTGTGAAAAACATAACAAGCAACGTGGAAAGAGGAGTGTAGGTGAGGATGCAACAACGTGCAGACATGAGGATCACTACAGCTCAGAAGAGAAGTTTTTGCACTTATGTTGCATTGAAGAGAAGGGTCTTGGTGAGAAAGGTGACCAGAACACATGAAGCTGCTTTGGGTGGGGCAAGAAAATGTCAGTAAAAGAGAGCTAAGGAATTCAGGTGTGGCAAGAAGACTGTTTAAAAGAAAGAGATGGCAAGATTCAGTGATGGTTTAAATGTGAAGGGAAGACAGCATAGAGTCAAATCTGACAGTTGTTAAGCAATGAGGTCTATTGTCTCAGGGCAGCCTGAAGTTTGCTGGTGTGGCATTTGCTGCTACAAGAATTCAGTTTTTATTTTCTATATAGCACATTTCTTCGTATATTGAGTTTGACATTTTTTGCATAAAAGGCTTGTGATGTCTATAAACAGTCACGTAGAAAAGAACATTTTTTATTCTATGATTAAAAACAATGTTCAGTTTAGTTCAGATCAGTCCTGAGCTGATCTAAGCTGACAATGAAAACTGCTGACTTTTTGATATAGACCAAAGTAAAAATCTGAGTAACCCTTGTAATTAGGGATGGAAAAGCCCTATGACTTAATTATTTTAGGGTTTGAACTCATTTGGCCCAGATAAGCAATTTAACATTTTACAAAGCCACTGAAGATATAATTCTTCATCAAATAATTGGAATATGCAACTGTTCACGTTTGAGAGTATGTGATTTAATATATAAATCTATGTTGTATGCCACTAAAGGAGTTTCATGTACTTTCAGACGCGCTGTGTGAGTTTAATATATTAATTTGTGTTGTATGCCACTAAAGGAGTTTCATGTACTTTCAGATGCGCTGTGTGAGAGAGAGAGAGAAGGAGGTGGTCCCTGTCAAAAAGGTGGGGGATTTAGCTTAGAGTAGAGCAGAAATCATATATTCTCTGCCTACTCACCTCTCAACACCAACCGTCCATTTATCACCGTGTGTTATTCTTAATAGACCCTTTTCTACCACCCTTGCAGATGACTCTCCCTTAATACACTGAATAAATTTCTGTATACAAGGCTACCAAATGCAAGTTTTAATGTATATGCATAAAATACACACAAAATTCACATAAAACTGTCACTTTCTTTTTTTTCCTTTTTCCTTTTTTTCTTTGCTTCTTTCAAAATACAAATAATAAAAAAAAGGGGAGATAATTCTTATTTGTTAAGCTTTTTGGGAGAGGAATGGTTAGATTTTTATTTTGCAGCTACGGAAACTAGAATATCTTCATTTGTCATTTACTTTTCAGTTAAATAATGAAGAGCAAGATTCTCACTTAGTCATATGCTTCTAGGAGCTGGAGCTTAAAGGAAAAACACTTATATACACTTAAAAAACTTACAGATGGAGAAAACTAGTTTTATATATATGAACAACTGAAAGAAAAGAAATTAAGGGTAGTCGTAAGCATTTGAGTTCCCAGTTTCCCCTGGAAAGTGTAGCACTGCTTTTAGTACTTTCCCAGCTTCTCCTCCTCTGTCCATTAATTATGCCACTTGGAAAATGCTTTCCATTCTCAGGGTACTATCTTCCAATGCAGATACTACTGAGAAAGTTGCACTGGGATGATATAACTACCTTCTAAATTGAATTTACATTACCCAGAAGCACCTTCTAAACAATTTTCACCTTTGTAGACCTCAAACTGGAACTCAGAAGTCTGGATAAGTGATGCCTGAGCACTTTCCATTCAGAAAACTGTTGGGGAAAAAAGACAAATAGATCTCAAGGGCCTCGAACAGCACTCACTGATGGGTTCATTAGAAAACAAAGCTTGCTGTCAGTTGTCGGTGAGAGCCAGAAGGCTTTAGCTCGGGACTTTTTCCTACCTGTAGCAAAGCTTCCAATTACAAAGCTCTGAGCTGCAAGAGCACACCCGATGCAGGTTGTCCAGGGGCTCAGCAAGGAGGTCACTGCTCCCAGCTGCTGCCTCTCCCTCTGCCAGGGGTGACGGTCGCTTCAGACATATCATCACTCCGCAGCCCGGTGCTGCCAAAATTACCTGGGCAGGCTTAAATGTGCCATGCATTTTAATAACCCCTGTTCAGCTGCAGGCAGGAAGCACCAGGTGACTGATGCTACTTCAATTTCTTCCAAGAGTTTAGAAACCATGTTTCCTTAAGTAGAAGCTTGTTTTGTTGATGTTTGTACACTGCAGCTTTATTGAACATCTTCATCATTACATTTTAGCAGCAATATTCCTCTGATGGCTTACAACTGGGTGGCAGAACTGCTCTTCATCCAACATCAATTTTACTGTTGTTTTCTCTTTGCTATAAATCGTATTTTATGCCCCATAAAGAAGCAAGTGTGATTTAATAATGACTTAAAAGAGCTGGCAGAGATAACTTTGCTGATGTATTAAAGAGGTCTAGAAATTTTAAAGCTTAGAGGTAGATTTTTAAAATCTGCTCTAATATTTCCCAGTTCTGTTGCTTGGACTGTGAAACATGACTGACCAGTCTCTGCTTTTCAGGTGAATTGGATATAAAGAAAGTAAAATGAAAGGAAAAATTAAAATGATCACATTGTCTGCGGGGTAATCAGAAAAAGTTCTCCTGAAGTAAGCGCTCCACATAGGCAGTCTAAATTATGACTTCTGATAGTTATGTTATGAGAGGAAGAAAGGAAAAATCAGCAAAGTTCTGCTCTGATTTATACTACTTTAAGTGAACTCCCTTTACTACAGATTAATTTCTGTGAAAGAAAGGACAGGCACTGAACTTCTGACAGTTTGATCTCCCTGTTGAAATAGAAACAAGCTCCTATCTCAGGGTTAAATCCATTTGCTAGGCTTCATAGAAACTAGTATACATATCTCTATATACCTCTATATACAAGGGATATAAGGAAATCTATCCTTTCTTTAAAAAAGTATTTTTTTTACAAGAGTTATTTCTGAAAACCTTTACCTTTGAATCAGTATTTCAATCTCAAGCTTAATACTTGAATCATACAAACTTCATAAAAGTGATATTTCCCCCATCTATCACGGGTGAACTCTGTTTTGCTTCACATTTGAGAGCAATATGCCTTTGAAATCTGTTTTTCTTTGAGCTGCTTTTACATGGGGAAAAACTAACACTAGGGAACGTCATAGTGGGGTGACAGGTGACAGTATGTAGGCATATCTGACATGTAAATGAATGCTCCCAGTTCATTTACAGCAATGAGTAAAGGCTGCTTTCTGGCTTAAAACAGGCTTTCTGAGCAAGGAAGGGTGCCTGCAGAGAGATCTTGCGAAAAGGGTTTGTTCATAAGTGGGGCCTATGGCAAGGCTGTCTCTTGCTTCTTCTGTACTTCCCATAGGATGGCTGTCATTCATTAATTTCCCTAATATGCTACTCTGAAATGTACTGGCCAAGGTAGTGATAGATGGATACTCTACTGCAGGATTTCTTCTGAGCTTCACTTTATATGAAACTCTTGCAATCTATGAATCTATTAATTATTTCATGTGGAAATGATTTCATGTACTAAAATGTCAAATAGAAGTCGAGTAAGATAGTAAGATTCCAAGCGCAGCAAAATTATCCAGCCCCCTTCCCCCCCCCAACTACATAGCATCTTCCCTCTGTGTATGTTTTTTTCAGTAGTTTTATCTCTACAGGAACTTGCACAGCAGAAATAACTTCTACTTTCATGAAGTCTCTCCTGTTTCTGGCATATTGATTGGGTGCAAGGAGCCCTTTTGGGAAGCTCTGGCTGTTGCTGGGCAGCTGCTTCAGGCTCCCTAGCCTGAACACCTGTTTGATTTCCCACAGTTTTGTCCGTGTTAGGGTATTTCTTCCCTGGAACTATGTGACACAACCTTCCTCTTTACGCAGAATCACAGTTACAAGCATTCGTCCTCCTTTTTTTCCAAATGTCAGCCTGAAAAACACAGCTGTGCCTTCAAGCCTGACTCTTCTTGCTGAATGGCACTGCCAGTTACAGGGACAGCCTGATCCAAGCATTGGTCTACCTCATAGCCTATCCCTGCCTCAAACCCAGGCTCTAATGTGACTGCTGCTCCAGGAAGGCCACCAGATCTAAAAAATGCTGGGGACAGAAGTTAATGTTGCATTGTGTATACAGGTGAGGTCACTAGCAGACATAGTGACTCAAAGTCATCCAAGGAAAGTACTGAATGAAGTTAAGGGAATACCCTTTTAAATTCGACAGGGAAAGCCATCTGAAGTCCCAGAGCCACAGTCTGTGGAGCATGTTGAGAACTGCTTGACCACACAAAGCTATCTAGCAGCACAGCTAAAAGCCTGCATTAAAAGAAAGCAATCAAACCATAAACCACAAATCACATTTTCCTAATTGCCTTTCTTACGTAGCCAATTGCTGTAGATGTCTCAGGGACATTATGCATTTGTGAACAAGAGATGAGTGTTTCAGATAATATCTCTCTTTAAATGAGATGTACTGAAATGTGCTGTAAAGGAGCAGTCCCCGTGCCAGGAAAGAGCTCCTGGGCTACACTGGGAGCTGTTGCTGTTAATAGCTAACCAGGAATCCCAAAGTTATGAAGCATTTCCTGAGGTCAGGCAGGTATAGGAGTGCACAGCTGTGTCTACCTATTTTGGCTAAAACATTTTAAAACTTGTATCCTAAATCCATATTTGATATAAATGAGGGTGGCGGTGAAGGAAGAGTCAAATAACCTCCTTTGGTACTTGGCTATAGGAGTTAGGAATTTTAACTCGGGACAGTTTTTACAGATCAGAAGCCTACTGAAGTGTACTATGACATGAAAGTTTGATTAGGGCTTGTTAGAGATGCATTGCCTAAGTCCCATGTTGTGATCTGTAGTGTGAAGAGCTGTGCCCTGAGTTTGTGTAAGCAATAACAGTGGGTTACACTACGTGGCATTCTCTACATGAACTCCTCCAGAACAGCAACGTATTTCATAAAGACAATTGACGTGAGACTGAGTTAAAAAGTGAATGTGGCAAATGATCTGCTACGATTTTTAGCTCTGAGCCAGCCCCTATTATGAGTGTTTCTCTTCACTATCCTATTCCTGCTCTCTCAGCTCATGTTTTTCATAAGGTCAAGGTAGGCATAAACCTCATCATCACCTTAAAAACAATATTGGACTGGCTTCCCCAGTTGCACGGTGCAGATGAGAGACATGGTTGCTTCTAGGTCATGCTAATAGTTTATTTACAATTCTGAAGCTTCACTCAAATACCATCAGGCATGCATAATTTCAAGACTCTGTACTTTCCTTTACAGAAACTTACATGAAATACATAGCTACAGAAAGCATAGTTATGTCATTCAGAGTTAGCTTATCTGTAGCCGTAAGGGTCAGAATTTTTTTAAGTACCATTTAAGTGATGTCTGTTTGAATCTGCACAGGAGCAGCAGTGACTCAGCAGCATGAACTGTCCAAAGTTATTTTGATTGGAATGGCAAATTTAAATTAAGCACATAGGTTGACTATTGGGAATGGATGCAGTGAGAGAGAGAGAGAGGACATTCAGACATGTAGCTAAGGGACAGGGAAATGTGGAAAGAGGGAAAACAAGAGGCAAAAGAAATGGAAATAGAGGGACAGAAGAAGGCTAGCAAGGGTTGTTGGTCATGGTGGCTCAGAGCCTGGAAATATGAATATTTGATGTCACTTGATTCAGGATCAGGATACACCATAATATGCATGCTGCTTGGAGCATTTGCCACCAGGTATGGGACTAAGCTTCGAACACCTGCTTCAAATTGGGATCCAGGTCTTCCTCATTCCCAGGTAAATGGATACTCTAATCTTTCAATACCTAGATGGCCAAGGGAAAACATCTTTCTCCCCCTTCCCCATATTTTGGGTGAAGATTTATGTAGTAGGTCCATTGAGAAAATTGTCTGGCAACTTCAGTATGCAGAAGAATATCTACCCTGCAAATCCCAGTAATACATAGTTTCAAGCTACTCTGGACATTAAGGCTCTGTACCTGCAGGTGATTTTAAATATGTACCCCACAGCAGAAATGTCGAAGTCAGGGAACTCTACTGTGGGAAAAACAAAAACACAGAAAATTTTGGATGGTGCTGTTTAAAGCAGCAGTTAGGCAGCAATGTCTTTTGTAGATATAGCCACAAGTAAGTGCAGGAAGGTTATATTTTATCCTTGATTTCTTTGCCAACATCCTACTGCTAATGGAGTGTATCCTGCTGTGGGAAGCATCCCATCCTAAATTTATACCCAGTGTATCTCTTGAGAATAATTTTTTGTTTCTCATACCCAAATTCAGATGGGCATTTGGCACAATGCAATGTATCTTTTCTGCTTGAAATATTATTCATGATTTATCATTTTTCCTGGAGCATCTGACATGAGAGGAACATTCTATGTGTTCCTTTCAAACACTTGGTAAAACTGCCTCATCCCACTCACTGATGTTAGTTCTTGCTCCTGATCTCAGCCCAATAATCACACGCCTCCAGCAGCTATTTACGTTTTCATTTTCCTCCTTTCCCCCCTTCTGTTTTTTATTTTTAAAAAAGGACACTGGAAACTCTTCCTTTTTTTTTCTTTTTTTGCCACAAGTTACACAACCCAGTGTATATCCAGGCTAAAACAAAAGGCACAAGAAAAAGTAACCTCATCCAACCAAAATTTCAATATACTTCAAAAACATATGTGAACTGTTTGCTGTTGTTCTAAAATTATTTTGCAACAACTATATTTACAGGAGTAGCTTCTGTTCCACTTAACCAAGCTTATGGTTTCACATCGATAGGAAGCCTGCAGTGTAACAAACATGCAAATCTACAACTTCCCAACACAGGGCAACTAGTTTTTCACATACTATAGTAATATTCAGCTGTACAAAGTTATTTGCCAGAAGCCACAAAGTTGATCCATTCTAGAGTTAGAAATGGAAGGTGGGTGTCCTGGCTTCCACTTTTATTGCACTATGCACCAGATCTTATTGCTTCCCAGAAGCGAAATGGCTTTAATGGAAGCAATTCTCTCGCATGTATTTCTTCAGGGAGCGATGCAAGAGACAACTTAGGAATATTACAGTTGTCATGAAATCCTTTTTTATCAGTTCCAAGGGAAGAATTTTCATACATGAGTGCCTTCAATTCTGCATTTAGAGTCCAAATCAGCACTGAAATATTTACATTCTTTTCTTTTATGTGCTTGATAGCAGTGTCCAAAAGCAGGATTTGAGCATCCTAGTGAAGCAAGCACATATTAAACTAGGCTTCCTACTGCTGAAGGCTTAACTCTTGCAAGATCTGAAACATTCTGTGACTTTCCTCCCTCCATGCAACACAGAAAACTTGACTTCTGAACACAAGTACTCTTTTAGAAGTTTCCCACTTTACCATATGTGTTACAATAGCTGACATACATACATACATACCTACAGAAATAACTATTCAGTGGGTACCCTATTGTTTGTTATGTGAATCTGCATACTCTCTATAATGTAACCAAAATATTTAAAGCTCTGTCTTACCAAAGTCTGAGTGCTCTGGGACCAATCCAATGAGATTGCTATTCAAAGTTTTGACGGGTTAAGCTACTAATGGATTTTACTAACTCTCACCTTTGCTGTCTGTGAAGTTCCGTATACTAAGAATATCATTAAGATCCTGATAGTGGTTCTGCTTAATGTATGTTGTTTTCTCAGGAGTGTCCTGAAGTTGCATTGTGACCTCTTCCAAGTCTTTGTCCAGCTGAAAAACAAAGAGAGTACAAATCCCTAAAAATTCAGAAGTCATTTCTTCAGGTATCTGCACTAACTGCATAGCTTTCCATAGTTAGACTAGAGGGCAGGTGGTAATGCAATTACTACACTGTGCCAAATACAGCTGTCTTCTTATAGCACTACTACACTGCCTCTAAAAATCATGCTACAAGTAACAAATTGTGTTCAACTGTTGCACACAGCCGTATGAGAGGAATAAGCTTTAGTAGTTAGCAGTTTAAGCAATTCACAGGTACTGGTGAATGAGAAAGATATGAGATATGGGCATCAGAAAGCCCAATCTACAAACCCCTCAACTCTTTATTTTTTATGTGTAAGATTGTGGCATACATAGCTATAACCACTTCATCCATCAAATTATCAAGCACACAGGAGAATATAAGTCAGCTGTGACAAGGAAACTCTGATTTGGATCCACTGGTTCTGGGCATTTAGTCTATCCAAGCAAGGTCCAAATGAGATCAGCAGAGCCCTGTGTGCACTAGTGTGGCTCAATTGCTCTGATCAACCTTACCTGTGCTCACCATCATGAACCTTGCAAGGCACAGGCTGAGATCTTGTGAGTTAGGAGGCTTAGAAGAAAAAACTATGGTAGGGTAAAGGAACAGAAATAGCCAGTAGGCAGATTATTCATTAAAAATTTCAAGGCTCTCACATGAAAGGGAGCTGGCAAAGCTGAACTAATTTTTCTTTAACAAAGGCAGAGATAACTTTTCTTTTGGAGTCTTTGGTAGCCTGAGTAAAGTCCTTCTAGTTACCTACGCAGTTGTTGTTACTTAAGATCTGGACAAAGAAGTAACTGTTGCAACAAAATACCTTTTCTTCAAGGTATAGGAGTACTTTACAGATTGGGCAAGAACAGGTTAGTTTCTGCACAATATAGATCTGTTATGGTTATCTTATCTCACAAATTGGACAGTCTTCAAGACTGATTTGTCATTGTTTCAGGTCTCCTGAGAAAGGATGTATATAATTATAAATGTACATCCTGTAGCTCTAATGGAATTCATGTACTCCACGTACTCAGCCTTTCCCTCAGTAGGTGGAGCTCCTCACTGAAGGAGCTTCATGGCCTCTGTGCCAAAAGGATCAGCTTACATGATCATAAAGGTCTTTTCTATCTTAAGAAAAGATGTAATTCTGTTTCATAGAAGATGTAAAAACCTATCTAGCAAGTTTTTGAGCAAACTCTCAGAGAGATTGAGAAATAACAGCAACAGCAGTCTCTGAACTCAACCGTAAACAGGAACAAAGACTTAAGTGCCCCTGGGGCTGCGGGTCTCTGTTACGCTTGCGCATAAAGGTTACACTCCTAGAACTACTGCTTCTGTGGTGCTCAGCATGCCCATGTGAAACAGCAGGGTAATTGACCTGTTACAAATAAATAGGGGACGTTTCTTCTTATTTTGCTGAGGTACATTTTCATTTTGTCACACCTGCTAAGTATTCACTGTACTAATTAGCTATTCATATAAATCATCCCTTTCTTATTATTTTAGTGTTTTTCTATGGGAAAAGCTATTTTTTTCTCTTTAAAAAGTAGTCAGCATTTAAGCAGATTTCAGCATTGCTACCAAAAAAATAATAAAAGATAAAGTTCCTGGGCAGTATATACAATAAACAATACCTCTGTGATTTTCATTCTCAAGCGGTGGTTCTCTGACTGCAATCCTTCTAGTCGAGATGTGCTGGCCTGATTGACGCTGGTGACTGATGTGGATGTTTTTGAATCTTCTTTCTTTTGATTTTGAGTGAACTGAAATCTTCTGTTCTGTGTGGCTGCATCTGGATTTGTTCGAAGTGTGATGAGCTGAAAGGTTGAAAAGCCTTAAGAAATCCTGTTTTATTTTTGCAGCTATTTATTTTGTATCTCAAAATACTGAGAGGTAAGCCAAGAGTTCCTTTTTGACTTTCAAGTACAAAACTCTGGAAAGTGAGCTCTGCTTGTCATAAGCAGTACTTGAGACAATTTCTGAATAACTTTATAGAAGAGGTTGAATGAAAATGATTATGACAACGGAAGCATTAAAAAATTTAGAAAAAAAATAATTGAAAATATATTTATCTGGATTTTAATTACATTGAAATAAATATATTGTAACATTCTATCAAATGTATTTTTCTCCTTCGTTGATATATTTTTACTTTCAGAGGATATATTCCTTCCCCAAGAAAAAAAACCAATCCACCAAGCCCTTCTCTTCTCAAGCACAGTTTCATCTGAAATTTCTCCTTTCCTACTGTTACAAGTTACACTCAGGCAGAGAGAGGCATGAAGCAGGAGCATTAACAGAGAGAACTCATGGGAGATTGCACTCTGGAGATAACAGAAACTTAATTAGTTTTTAGCTACCAAAAATAAACCAAATCTGTTCAAACAAATTAAATAAGCCATTTAAAAAAAGGTTAACCTTAAACGTATTTAATTTAAGCAAATATAAGTAAAATTTAACACTCAGTGACAATGTGAAAATATCACCTCGACATGAGGAGAGAAAGCTACTGCTGTTTGGCAAGGGGGAGAGAGATTCTCAGATTACTCTAGAGAATACAAAATTTATGTTACTTGCCAAGCAGCATACATATACATTTGTATACAGACAAAGCTGAAGGAGCTCCCTGCCCTGAGAGCATAGGCATGGCATAATAAATCCAAAGCTGTCTGAAAAGAGGGAAGGGGCAATAATTTTTTAAGCATAGCCTAGACAGATTTTGTGGTATAGCTGCATTTTGGAATTGGTTCCTCTTATTTTTAAGAACATTCTTAAAATTCCGCAGCTCTGGTGGCATGAAGGAAGGCCCTAACTTCTGATTGAGAGAGATCTGACTGGGCAGACACTGGAGCATCTGGTCCCTGGCATGTATCTACAGATCGAGTCTGCAGATTGGGATGATGCTTGCAGACAATAAATTTCCTCTTTACGGTGGTAAAATAGATGGAGAAGGCTAAGGTTCTCTGTGTCTCCTTCACCATAGTCTTTACTGGTAAAACTTGCCTTCAGAAATCCCAGAACCCTAAAGCAATTGAACACAACAAGTTCAGGCAACCTGACAAGTTGCATCCCTGAGGACTAAGAGGATGGTCAATGTCATTGTGAGGCCACTCTCAGTTACTTTTGGAAGATGATGTCAACTGGGAGAAGTTCTTGAGGACTGGAAGGAAGGAAATGTCACAGCTGTGTTCAGGAGAGTGAGAGGAGGATTCGAGGAAATGCCTTCTTCCCACCTTCACCTCAGTCCATTGAGGATGCTGCAGCAAATCCTCTCGGGAACCATTTCCAAACATACGAAGAGCAAGAAGGTGATTAGAAGCAGTCATTGTTGATTTATGAAGGAGAAATCCTGCCTGACCAGCCTGATTTATAGCATTCTTCAGTGAGATATCTGGGCTGATAGATAAGGGGAGAGAATTACTTTTCTTGACTTAAGCAAAGATTTCAACACTGTGTCCCATAACATCCTCATAGTCAAACTGATAAAATAGTGACTGGGTAAGCGGCCACTGAAGTGGATTCAAAACAGGCTAAACTGACAGGCTCAGAGGATTGTGATAACGAGTCACCAGTGTTGTACCTCAGGACCACAGTAGGACCCATCAGCGAGTTTGCAGGTGATCCTTAAAGAGGAGGAGGCGGCGGCGTTGATACACCGGATGATTGCACTGCAGTTCAGTGGGATGTCAAGAGACTGGAGATCTGGGCCAATAAGCTAGGCCCAGATCTGGCCCCTGAAGCTAGGTAAAGGGGAATACTAAGTTCCACCCTTGAGGAGAAATAAATTCAAAGCACCCACCCAAACAACATGAGGGGTGTTTGGCTGGAAAGTAGCTTTTCAGTAAAAGCTCTGGAAATTGTGGTGGACAACAAGTATAACATGAGCCAACAGTACCCTGGGCCAATGGAAATGATCCTTCCTTTCTGCTCCGCCTGAGTGAGAGCACAGCTGGAGTGTTGTGTCCAGGTTTGGGCTCCCCAGAGCAAGAGAGGCATAGGTATACTGAAGAAAGCCCAGAGAAGGGCTACAAAGATGCTGAGATTGGAGCCTTATGATACAAGTGGAAGCTGATGATTACTTAGCCTTGAGATGGAAGAGATTGGTGGGGCAATGACATTGTGTGTAACTATACTACGGAAGACAGTAAGGAGGATAGAACCAGACTCTTCTCAGTGCTTTGCAATGAAAGGAAGGGAGGCAGAAGCTGAAAAAACAGAAATTTCACCTAAACATCAGAAAAAACCCTTTTCCTACTGTGAACATGGTCAAATGCTGGTATAGATGCTCAGAGGGGTTGGAAAGTGTTCCTCTCTGGAGATAACCAAGACCCAGTTCCTCAATTGCAATTACCCTGGGTATCCTACTGTAGCTGAGCCTTCCTTGAACCCCTGCGTATTCACTTCCACCTTCTTTATTTCTAATTAGGCTGGTTGTAATGACTGGCGTGCCCACACCAAAAACTACATGAAAATGAAGTTAAAGGTGAAGAATGGTAATAACAAGGCTTATTAACTTAGCAGGTAGAAGCATTACAATACAAAAATTCTGCAATTTGTTGTGGTCTAGGTTCAAACTGAATATAAGATTGAATCCTCTTCACCTGGAAGTTTATAGCTGAAAACTGGATGATTTGCAACAAGGACATATGATGCAATAAATTTATTCACGTGGTGAGGATTGTCCATGGGCAATGTTGTTGGCTTACACTGCACAAAGAATGAGGTTAAATGAGCATTTTTCTTTTTCCTTTTTTTTTTTTTTTTTTTTTTTTTTTTGTTCTTCAGGTCATAAAATCAGTGAAACTTATATCTTGCTGTCTTACATCTGTGCAGTTTCAATTTCAACCAAGGGTCAATTGTGAATAGACAAAAATTGCTACCAACACTGAAAATTAATGTTTTAATCCCTAGAACTGATTTTGCATTGCTGCTCTACAGGAAACTCGATCAGAATTAATGTGGTAATGCCATTGCAGCTAACAATGGTATGTACTCAGTGGGTGACTACAAGTGAACACAATGTTCTCTCTCCAAAAAGATAGAGTAGAAAAAATAAAAGGACATGGAAGTTTGATAAACATGGATAAACGTGGGACAATCACTTCATTAATATTAGGCTTTCTTCTTTTAAAGAAGTGAAGATTATGCTGAAAAATACTATAGACATGTCGGTCCTTAAAAAGATAATCAGATGTAGCAGTTAACTTCTAACAGGAAATATATGCATAACATGTTTCAATTCTGAAGGTCACTTCTACAAGATATCCTTGAACCCAGAAATCAATAATAGGTCTAAAAATGTTTGGACATTTTTTTATTGGATAACAAGAATGTCTACAATTACTGTCAGTAGGATGCAGTCTAATGTTATCAACATTTGTACCTTTAAATGAAGAGAGTGATGAGCATTTGTTCCCTGATCTGTCTTACTCCACTATGGGATTTTCTTCATGGTTTTTTTCTGAGGCACTTGGTACCAAATTAAATGGCAGTGGATGAAGTGGACATTTAACTGGAGAAGTATAGCAATTGCCATGTTAGATGTAAATAAGATTAGTAGAGCTGAGAAGAAGGAAGGGGAAAATGTCATGTTTCATTCCCTAATGTGTCTACATTGTTGAATAGTTGCCTATTCAGATTCATAAAAGGACTGTGGGGCAAAATTGAATTTCAGCACTGTTGACCCAGGGGACTGCTGAAGATTAGTTAAAAGGAATACACTTTACTTGGTATAGCAGAGAAGTAGTAGCACTCACCTGGCTCAAAACCACATTATTGCTTGTATCTGTCTGGTCAGATTTTAATAAATGAAAAAGCGCAGTCTTTCAAGTCTTCATTATCATCTCCTGTGCTCGACAAGCCATAGGCTTTAGCAATCTTCCTATGTCACCAAAATTGTACTAATTTAGGACATACTTGTTAAGGAGAGCGATTTGGTGCCTGTCTCACACTAACATCTCACCTAGACGTGCAAACTGGGTGGTGCCAGATACAATCTTTTGTGGGGTCCAGAAGGGCTATTGTGAAACCTGTGCTGAAGCAGGTTGCAGAAGAGGGCGCTTGCCAGCCATCCTGCTGTGACTGTGGCACAGAGCAGAGAGAAGAGACACAGGACAAAATATACGAGTGTAAGAATAAGAACTCTACAGCTGTGGAAGCACTCCATGGGCATTGGAAGTGCTGCGTTCCAGCCCTTGCTTCAACATTTTTTTTTGTATGTTATCCAACGACGAATTTTGTTGCAAAAATGCTAAGCATTTGAAAACCTGAGAATACATGGAAAGAGGTTAAATACTTCACACTAGATGGCTATGTTTCATATTTGTATTTTGAGGAAAAAAGAACTGAGAGAAAAAATAAGGGTAGGGTAATTGGGGTTTAAAAGAAGATCAGACGAAGGGGTTAAAAAAGGAAACAGAAAAGTAATTTCAGAGCCTGTGACAATGTAAGAGAAGGATGGGCAAAGGAGCATGAAAGCAAAAGGGCAAAGAGCTTGGACAGCATTAATGCTTCTCTTTGAAGAGAGTTCTGACATTCTATGGAGGTATTTTTGGCATCAGAGTTTTAATATGCATTTTCATACAGCTTACACACTTAAATCTTGCAGAATTTTGAAGTACACTCTGTTTGTGAATGTTCCCTTAATTTAGAATGAAGTTATGAATCTTCCCCAAGATCCAGAATAAAAATATGACTAGGCATGTCTACATATGGCTTTTTAATATTTGAGAAGGGAATTGCAGAACTTGTAAAGCCATCCTATTTAGTCAGTCCTGGAGGATGAATTACTTTGCTTTTTTTCAGATCAGAAATCAACTACTATTGCTAGTCTATGCCTCTAATTTCCTTCAGAGGGTACACTTCTATATGAATTTATTAGTTTTTTATTCTACACATATAGTTCTTGCCCCCCTCAGTAGATGGGATGCCACTTAGCACCAGAATCTACTGACTACAATTTGCTCAATACATTGAATGAACATTGTCCAGTAAAGAGCCACAAACTTTTTTGAAGCCACAAACTCATTTGAAAAACCTAAAAACAGATCTGAGAGGTGAAAGGACCTATATTTTGGCTCTTGCCTTGCAAACATTTTGGACATCCAACTGCATATGCATCTGATTTGGGGTGATAAGCTACATTTATGCAAGTCACTTAAAATTAATACAATTGCACATTTTACTTCAAAATATCAAATACATTCCCTAGCACTTAAGGCTTTGCTAGAGTAAGCTTACGTAAAAACCAGTTTTCCCTTCATTCAAGATTTGTCATATTCACATCTAAAGCTTAACTCTGCAAGGAAAATGGTCAAGTTCCAGCGCTCTGTGGGTAAGGGTCTTCTCAGTTCTTCCGACAAGGTGCAATGAAAGCACCCTTAGAGCCCAAAAGAGCAAAAAGAAATGAAAACATATGCCTTCCAGTCTGTGCCTCACTTAGTCCATTAATATACACATTAAAAAATATAAGTTCAGCACTTGCAGTATACATACAGATTTCCTCTTAAGTACTGAAAAAGCCTATTGTAGCACCATACTTGAATACTTAGAGATTTCAACACAGTTGACCTTACATAGTGCCAGTGAACTAAAATGATCTTATTGTTTTGTAGCTATAGAAACAGAGATCTTGATTATCTTGCTTAGGATATGTAGGAATCATAGAATATCCTGGGAAGGGACACACAAAGATCATTGAAGTCCAGCTTCTGGCCCTGCACCTCAAGAGTCACACCGTGTGCCTGTTCAAATGCTTCTTGCACTCTGTCAAGCTTGGTGCTGTGACCACTTCCCTGGAGGGCCTGTTCCTGTAGCAGTGAATCTGATGAGAAACTGGTTAAAACATGTTTCAAAATGGCTTTTTGTATTTTCTACAGTGTCACTGCCTCCCTCTTCCCAACACCCCCCTGTGAAGGGCTATTGTGTTCCATACAAGGTGCCCTGGGAAGGTGTCCTGAGGTGTTTCTCATTGGTCCTTGGTTAACCCCTTCCTATTGGCTGTTGACCCTTTACCTGATGGTTTTTTCTGTGTGACCCTGAACTTGTGATTGGTTCCCCTTTGACCCTCCTAAAAGCCTTATAAACCCCTTCCCAAAAATAAACTCTCTCTTGCCTCCTCTCCACGCCCGGTGTGCTGTCTCTGTGCCTGCCATGGAGCCACGTGGGTGCTGGGGGGAGGGGAGGGCACCTCTCCCCTCCAGGCTCGGGGCCTGAAAAACCCTGTCGCTGGAGTCCCCTTTCCCCGTCCCTCAAGACGTCGGAATGGTTCTTCAGATGGAGAAGGAACTAGAACTGGGCTCCCCCACGTCATGGGTGGGGAAAGGGATCCAGATGTTCCAGTGCCCAACTACCCTCTAGCTGAAGAACCTTTTCCTAATATCCAACCTAAAACTCTCCTGAGACAGCTTCATGCCATTCCTTTGAGTCCTATTGCTGGTCACCAGAGAGAAGAGAGAAGAAACATGGCGGAGTAGATAACAGGACCTGGCCCTCCTGAATCTCCACTTACAATTCTTTCCAAAAAGTTCCTGGAAGTTGGAAATAGAGACTATTCCATTGAAACTACAGAAAACAATGTTTGTTTCCCCAGTCACAGTTTCGGTAAAAATATAGGCATTAGAAACTCATGTACACACTCCTGTAACTTTGCATATTCCATTTACTCCAAAATCTCATGAAGCTTTGTTTTTCCCTCAGGGTCCAGAAACAAGAGTTTATAGATGGGCTTGATTAAGAATTCACACACATCCCCTGCACTTGGAAAGGCAATAAACATTTATATATTAAATCGTGATTACAAAACAGAAGGAAAAAATCCAGATCCATGCAAAACATATTCACCTACCTTAGGTACAAACACAAGGCAGAGAGTAATGGTACTGCAGAATATTATGACTAAAGCAACAATGCAGAACTGCACATTGGGTTGGTCTCGGGTAAGGAATGAAACAGCAGCACCAATGATGCACATTATCCCCACGTTGTATACACTCATTCCAATGTACTTGCTGTCATTCAAAGCAGGAATGCTGACATTTCGTGTCTCCCAGGCTAGGAAACACCCAAATAACTGAAATGTTAAAAGAGAGAGAAAAGATGATAATTATAAGAGGAACTGGCTGTCATCCAGAAAAAGCATTAATTTAAAACAGGTATGTTTTTTAACTTAACAAATGCAGGTGCTATTACAATACAGAGCTATACACCTACCTTTTATTCAGTATCTAATCACATATGTGATCTGTTTTGCTCACTAGGATAGATTCCTGCTCTCTCTCTCATGAGGGAAATGGGAAACTTGAATTAGTCATTATGGGAAAAAATTACTCTAAATGCTATGGCTATCTTTATTTTGTGCTTTTAGTAATTTTTAAAGACAGTTCTTCCTCTTTCTTTTCAAGGATTCCAATAAAGATGTAAAGTGCACTGTTCTTTCAGCTATTTTTAACAGCTGTTCTCAATATACACTTATCAATCCAGTCATTCATTATATGATTATCACCTACATTAATAAGCAGCAGTGCCAAGATGTGTCCCTATGGGACATAAACAACATAGAAAGTGTCACCCCAGTTGTTCAGATTGCAATTATAATGTCTTTTATTATAGTGGGAGTTGGTAATGGCCTTTCAATTGCAGTTGTCTAATGATTTCTGGCATAAAACATTCTTGTGGCAATTTTTTGTTTGCTTTTTTCTTTGGTGTATTTTTAAGTTTTAGCCCCTTTGTTATTTGCAATATGCTTTTGCAGTTCAGCAGGGGAAAGTCTTTAGTGGAAGGAAGCCATCTTCATCCCTTGACAAATAGGTTGGTCTGGGCTGAGCTGTTTTGAAGGATAGAAGAAATCCTTGTCTGTATTTCTACATCACATTTTTAAAGGATGACACCCTGATTAACTATGGAGAAGATTTCTATCTTCTCCTACTACTGTTCATTATTAATGAGATTTTTAGGGTTGCTGGTCATCCCTCACTCTCCTCCACTTCTCCCAGTATGAACAAATTCCCTTCCAAAAGCATTATTCTGGGAATACAGCCAATATACTTATGTGAGGACAGCACTTATTACAAATAATGGGGATTAATTTATAGCTGAGGCGGTTATAAAGCGATCTAAAATATCAATTATAATGGAAAAAAGATGGTTTGAAGAGTGTTGTGGGGGTTATGGTTTGGCCTATTCTCATTTATGATTGAGAACAGCATGGAAAATAGTTAAGTATCTTCCAGATGAAAAGAATGTATTTATTTATACAATAACTAAAGAAAGGGAGAGGTTCTTGCAGCAAGTGGGTTTCCTGAGAATGATGAACTATTGTAAGGGCTTAAGGATCACAGTTGCCTGTCTCAAGCACTGTTTAAGCCACAGAAGGACTTAGTCATGAGAAAAGCACAGAATGGAGCCACAGGATGGTGCTAAGTCCAGGCCCAGCAGAGACAGGATCTGGTTAGTACATCCTAGGTAATGTATCCAGACAAAAATTCCCACTGTGGCAGTGGGAAAAGAAGCAACTACTTGTACGAATATCCCCACATCACAGGTCAAACAAAGATCACCCCAAACCATGGGACAGAGGCCTCCATGTATACCTGAAACTCGGACTGTAAATTAAACCATCTTAATGGGAACTTGAGATAGGATAAAGGGGGTACTATTGTCTGAGTGTTATCTCAGGCCTATGGGGAGATAAACAAAGCATGGGAGAAGAATGCATCACTGATAACGGACACGAAGAATGCAGAATTTACACACCACAGAGAAAGCCAACTCAGCAACTGTGCTGAAATCTGCAGCAGGTAAAAGGTCACTCCAGCAGAGGGAGACCGTGACCACTGACTCACGGCCCACTGACCCAAGAAACCCACTGACTCAAAAGGAAAGAAAGAGTCAGCATGCAAATTAATTAGCATTAGAGAACTGTTTAGCCGATGAGCATTAATTCCTTTGTTTGCAAAAATGTGTAAATAGCAAAAAATTTTGAACGGCCTTGGGACCTCCAACACAGAGAATCCCAGGGTGAAGAAGGACCAAAAGGATGCCGCTGGATCCATGAGTGATGACTATCTTCTGCTTAATCTCTCTCTCTCTGTCTCTTTCTCTCTTCCTCCCTCCTCTCTTTTCTATGTTTTTTTGTCTTTATACCTCATATTTTATCTGACTATTGACTTTGGCATATGGTCTCATTTGCACCTTAATTCAGGCAGAGGCATCTCTCAATAATCAGATCTTAACAACTATAAATTTGAGAGCATTTTTTAAATTTTAATTACCCCTTTGGGTAAAATGCTTGCCTCAGGAAGAGAGATCTCCTTTTCTAGAAGTCACAGCTCATCTTTGAAACATGGATAGAAGATGAGAGTTTTCTGCAGCCTGTTGCCAGGGTAGTGGTGATTGCAGAGGTGCTCCTTGTTTGCCTGCTACAGATGCCTGCAGGGCTCCATGAGGTTGGTAAGATTTCTCCTCTGAGATAAAGCTTTCCCAAGGGAACATGATGCTTTGCTTTCTCCCCATCTGCCCTTCTTATTTTCCCCCTTCCTGAGGCTCAGACAATCTGCACAAATAAAAGATTCAGTTTTATGACTATAAAAATCCTGTAAATCCCCAAAATGGCTTGCTTGAGGAATGGGATGCAGACATTGGTTGTGAAAGGTTCAGATTTCTGTGATTCCTTGACAAGTTTTGAATATGAAACTTAGGAGCTTCAGTTAAAAACACAGACTCATAGTACCTAGTTCAGCTCCTCTTTACTCCTGGTACCTAAACTTTAAACATCAGTCTTCTCCAGATAAGTAAATTACATTTCAAATTATGCTTGGGGGCACCTAATTCTTGAGACTGCTGTAAATTTAAGGACTATTTGATATTTAAGGCTGCCTGCTGGGATTTGCAATGCAGCTGTCTCTCTTCCTATTGCTCCTAGAGGGTTCAGGCTGCTAAAGTCTTCTCAGACTGTCTACTGGCTTGGGCCTCACACAAAATGATGCTGGTGATGACCATTGCATATCTTCATGTTTGAAGAACACAGCACAGTGATGTGTCCAAGATGTGCTCCCCAGTCCCAGAGTAGAGGCTGGCTTCAGAAGGAGCTCTCAACTTCTTTCAGAGCTGTCAGATTTTACGTAGTCAGAAAGTGACTGTCTTAATTACTTGGGCATTTGCGTGGGATGTTAGTTCTGATCTCTGCTGGGAGTTTTGATTAAACAGTCTTTAGAGAAGGCGTGCATGAATACACATTGGGATAGAGGCAGGCAGCTCTTAGCAGTGCTAATGTGCTGGATTCAGAGAGGTGTAGGACATATTTGTCCCACTGCTTTATATCAGCCCACTTAGGCAGCTCCTTGCTGGCAGTTACAATTCCCATCCTGAGGCTTCTGATGGACCCTGTGAATCACAGAAGGAGTTTGAACAACTCAGGGCTACGCATTCTCCTATAGAAAGCAGTGGTCTAAAAGTTAAGGGTATAACAGTCTACTGTCAAGTCTAATGGCCTAATTTAAGTCCCTTTGGGGATCTCAACCAATGACTTATAAAGTATGTAACTGGAAAGGCTTTCTATATTTTTAGTCATGAACTTAAAGCCTTTTTCCACTTTGATCTTCTAAATACACATCTTACCGATATAGAAAGTGTCATAAAATGTTGTTTTGGATTTTCTCAGAAGGTATGGACTGCTGTACAGGCAAGAGATTGGTTTGTTTCATTTTTGTTTGAGGGTAGGCAGCTTCTATTTGACACTACATTGATGTAAAGTATTAACTTTGTAGTAGCTGGTATGGTAGTTTAGGCTGTGTTGTCAGTGCACCTGAAAAGGGTATGAGACAATGATTGTATAAATTTGGGGAAAACAGTACCTGAAGACCACATAGTCTGAAGGATTATATTGTGAATACACTGTGACTAATGATAGAATACTGCTCACTAAGAGAAATCTGTATTAAAATCTCAGAGGAATAACAGAACTATGGCGAATACAATACCTGTGTTTATAGAGTTTAACAGGAAAACTTTAATTTTAAAAAATCTTGTACTAACCAAATTGTGATAGCTGGGGGTATAATAAAAGTGTTTGCAGTTGATGTATTGGTAAACATTTAACACTGTCTTTTAAAACTCTACTAGCTAATTAATTTTAAAGCTTGTTCACGGGAATTACTGTTAAAGACAATAACGATTGCCTACTGATGCACAACATATATTGATACAACCAAGTGCCTAATTTGATATTGGACTGCATAGACTGTCAGATGACAAGCAGGAAATTATTTATCCTTCTCCATTCCCTCTTGCCCTGTACTGCCCTTAAACCATTTTTTATATGTTTCATTTCAAAGTCATGTCAGCTTTTACTTTGAGTGTGGGTTATGAGCAGTATTGGGAAAAGAAAGATAAAGAAAGAAAATTATACTGAGGATATCAGACAGGAGCAGAGAAATACCAAAGGAAAAGTCTCCAGTGTTGCCAGAAGTCAAGCTTGCCAATAACTAGTGGATATGGTTTTAGAAAGATTATATATTGGACCGGGCTGCAGCTAATTGCTGTACTGTAGTAGCACTTATAGTGCTCACTTGTGCATCATAGCCTTGCTATGTCACATGAAAGAATAAAACCAAGCCTTTACTACAAAGATTTTACATCTGGCGATTTTTGCTTGGTTTGGTTTTTGTTTGGGGCTTTTTGGGGGGGAGAATTGTCTTTTTTTTTTCCCTTAGCTAGGTTACCGTGAGATTTTTCCTTGTGTCTCTCCTAAAGACAAGGGTAGTTCTGGACTGTGGCCTGTAAAGAGGTCTCAGTCTGAAGTAACTGTGAAGCTGGACTTGTGGATTTCCCCACTTATGTTCAGTCATTAAATCCAGATCATCACAGACATAGGCACAATGGCTGCAGATATTTTTCAATGAGATTTTTCAAAACAAAAAAAAAGAGATTTTTGGTTTTCATGTTTTCACTGGAGAATTGGGCAGTAAAAAAATATTGAGCATTTTCCAGGAAGATGCATAGAAAAGGGATTTTTTTTTAATTAACGTCACAATAAGTAAGATTAGAAAACTGAAAGACAAACTATGGCCTTGT